GCCGTGATAAAGGTAATCAGCAGTGATATTGTAAACATACACATATATATAGCCTGAATGTTGGAACTGTAACTATAATCTATAATCTAAACTATAACTGAACGAAATTTCTTTTTGTCTGCACCCTGATGCTGTATCTTTACAGTTCCTTTACCTGAAAAGAGACCACTCGGGACAAACTCTTCAAATAACACTTCATAACTTATATGTATTAAATAACCAGAAGCCCACAACTCCTGATAGAAATTGTAATGTTGCTTAGATCAGAGAAATTGCTTAGAATGTACAGAAGGCAGCAGCTCACCTCTCAGAAAGTGGCCTCGATTAACAGTTAAAAAGTCTGAAACATCATCTAATTTTACATCTTACACATTAGCAGATGATTAGATATCCATGGCTCCAGCCTTATCAAAATATTACACTTTGTTCTTAGCTGAAGGACACCGCTCTTATTTCATTTCCAGATCTTTGCCACGTACAAAATGAAGATTTTAACTGTATATCCAGACAGAGGAACTGCCCTAATTAGATTAAAACGTCAGTTCTGACATGCAACAGGCAGCCAATACCAAGGTGTAATAAACTCACACATCTTCAATGATAATTATCTTAACTTATCCTAACTTAGACATATAAAATCTGTCTAAGTCTAATATATAGTAACTTATATACAGTAAAGGGGTGGTGGTAATGTGTGGTTTCTGGTTTGTTAAATAAATAGTATAACTTATTGCAGTGTTAATACAGCAGGTTATAGTGCAGCGGCATTATAAGGTCTGATAGCAGCAGGGATGAATGACCAGCGGTAGCGCTCCTTTTTACACCATACCATACCAACTTTATTTATGAAGCACTTTATGCACCGGACAGGACCAAAGTGCTGTACACAATCATAAAATACAATAAAATTATAAAATAGAAAAAAAAAAACAAGTGTAAAATACATATTAGTATACAAAGAGAATAAAACAAAGTAAAACCTCAAATTGTGCAAAAGCCAAGGAAAAAAGATGAGTCTTAAGAAGGGACTTAAAAACAGCAAGAAAAGAGGCCTGTCTTATGCTCAGAGGCAGATCATTCCACAGCTTAGGAGCTGCCACAGAAAAAGCACGGTCCCCTCTGAGCTTGCATTTTGTCTTTGGGACCCTCAGAAGCAACTGATCAGCTGACCTGAGGGAACGGGAGAGTGTGTAAGAATGCAACAGCTCAGACAGATAAGAAGGAGAAAGGCCATTAAGAGTTTTAAAAGCAAAAGAATTTTAAAATCAATTTACACACAGGGTACATAAGTCTGAGTCTAAGTATAAGTCTGTGCAGGAAGTGAGAGGTGATGTGCATGATGGACGTAAGCTTTGACAGCTCCCTCCTCTCAGCCAATTCCTCCCCAGAGTCCAGAGTGCAGCCCTGGACAGAAGTGGTCCTCCTCTCCAGCTTGATCAGCCTCTTTCTGTCCCGCTCTGCGTTGCCTGAAGCTCAGCAGACAACAGTGCATTTATTCATATATACATATCTATATAAACATATATAGATATGTATATACATATATAAATTGCAAGTAAATGTGATTTCCAATTTTAATTATTTTCATTTATTATTACTTTTGTCAATTTCTATTTATTTTACTGGCAGCTGATTTTTTTAGCTTTAATGGAAGGGGATGTAAACATTCAAGGTGTCGGTGTGTTAAAGCAGAGTTGCATCTAAATGTGAAGGACAGCTCTCCACGACTGGAGTCTGACATCCATACTGTAAAGATTGAATTGTTTACCAGGATGCATTGATGCATTTTCCTGGTCCCTGCTGAAGAAAACTACCCACAACCTAATGGTGCCACCACCGTGCTTCAGCATAGGGACGGTTCAATAAAACATATGTGCTGTGTTAAGTGTTTTGCATGTAGACTAAAAAGTTTCACCAGAGCTTATTCTTCCAGATATATTCTTGTTGCCAACTGCAGTCAGAGAACCTCATGACTTTATATCAACAATCGCATTCATCTTTTATACCCTTTGATAAAGATCAGATGCTGTCTTTCACTACTAATTATGTCTGTCAATGCTTTGAATACATTTCATTCACCTAACCCTGATTTAAATGTCTCCATAACTTTATCACTATTTTCTTTGCTTATAACTCTTTTGTCTTCATAATCTGCTCTTAACAGACCAGCTGGACTGAGATTGAGCTTAAATCACACAGTGCTTTAATTATTCCTTATTTCTTAGTGAAAGTGAACTCTTATTTAGAGATATCAGAGTAAAGACAACTCTACCATGTATGATTTATTCCTTTTCTTTTTAATTTCGGCCTGATCTTTGTTAGTTTATACAGATAAAATACCTTTGTGGTTTCATAAGTATTTCACTAAATCACTTTCTGTTATAGTTGAAATAGTTGTGCACACGTTATAGTTTAATCACTAATATTGATCTGATTCTTATACAATAGTTTATTTATACACTCTTTAAAATTTTTCCTCCATTGAATTGAATTTAATATTGTATTTTCTCAAATTCTATTGAAAATTATTGTAAAAGGTCTGCTAAATATAAAAATTTTGTGTGATTTGGATCTAGACTTTCATAATCCAACTTTAACAATCCAACGAAAGATCCTATGAAATCATCATTTTATTCACACTCTGCTTTATTTGTGATTCCAAATCATTTATTTTCTCAAATTTACAGCAGGAGTTTTATATTCCACTCAATCTACAGATAAATTAACAATTATTCAAAGATCAGGGGTTAAATTATCACACAAAGCGTAAAAACCTGATTTAAAAGTTTTACAAATAGAATTAACATATCAATGCTTTTTAAAAGTTGATTTAAACAACCCAGTCCAGTTATGGTGGCAGATCTACTGTATATATAGAGCCAATCTTATTTTGGACCAGATTAGAGAAGTAACCCTTATGATATTTAATCTCTTAATATCACCTACTTACTGGGAAATTCACCTATTTTGCATACCCAAATGGAAAAGCAAATAACTTAGGAACTGTAAGCCAAAATTACATGTGTGATACGTTATTTGAAAGCTAACACCTTCCTCCTTTGAAAGCTAACACCCAAGCTGCATCAGTTCAAACATGACTCAAAGTTGTTGTTTTTTTTATTCTCCAAAATAATACGTCTGTTTTGAACAGCAGAAATAAAGACATGCTTGCTTGTTGCGGCTGCTTTTTCATGCTACATTTCGACATGCTGCTATAATTGTGCTTTGGTGCTCACTATGTCCATAAAATGAACTAGGTGGTTGAATTTTGGAGCATCTAAGCTTTCCAACGATTTCTAACATGTTTATATTGGTAAACATTTTATGAGTGTAATTTTCATGCATTCTGATTATTATTTGTAAATGCATTAAAACTGGGTTTTAAGAGTTAACCTCACTATTGGGTCAGGAGCAAATTTTCGCCTTATGTTGAAATAGGATTTTGGATCGCAGAACCAAGCTCCACACTCAAGTGTTTAGGACAGTGTTAATAGAAACAAATAAAGTCAGCAGATTTTTTTGGGAATAACATTTGTGCAACGCACTTCAACTTTAGAGGGAGGTTGAAAAAAAGTCTTGCAGGCTTTTATTTGCATTTGCTCTTCCACTGACACACCTGAATTTCCCCACCGTGGGAAAATATGTGTTATGTCTATTCTATATATAAAAAAAAAAAAAAAACAGAAGATCATTAACAAGAGATTTTAATACAATGTGTAAAAAAAGAAAATAGCACCACGACAAACTTTTGGTGAAAGGTTTTACAGAGTACGTCTACAAATCACCACTTCATGCATTTATACAAAAATCATCTCTGAATAAAAGTGCCTGATCAAAGAAACCTCTACAGGAGGCGGGCACACATGCAAACATTCTCATCACTTCATCCTGCGATCCTTTTCATTCAGAAAACCGAGCAGAGAGGTCACAACTGGGAAAAATAATCAATGAAAGAAAATGAAATGTACAATAAAATGTACACTTTACAAAGAGGACCTGTAATCAAAGAGCTAACAACAAAAAAAGCTAATATTTAAACAAACAAAACTATAAAGAATGATGAATGAGGAAGAAGGTCTGCCGGGGGAGTGGCGGGTCTTGGACAAGTTTGCCAGGGTGGGGTTAGATTTTTTCTTTTTTTTTCACTAGAACACAGAACAAAAGAATGAAACCAAAATAACAGGGCGATATTATATGTATTAAGTGAGCAGCAGAGCCAAAGATTCACTTGTTGCTTTGGATACAGAGGAAAATTGGGATTCCGTCTCAGTATGAATGGATTAAGTTATTAATAACATTAAATTATTCCAAAAGATTATTAATTTTACCATAAGAAATAGATTTAGTATTATTAACTTCAATGCCTGGGGAATGACAGAGGTCAGAATCTGTATGGGACACTGGCCCCTGTCGGCCCCTATCTAGAACCTATTCTGGAAATTGCTTTATTAATCAAAGAAAGCTGTGTTTTCTACAAATTTAAAAAAACTTGCTCAGTAAGGCATTGAAGGGGCACTGTCATGATGCTTTCATGTATTTGCTTGAACAAAAAATATCAACAAAAATAACTATATAGTCACATCACTATGAGAACAGAACTGTCCTATTAGAAGAGCAGGCATCCAGGGTATTGCTTTACAACCATCCTCCTTCCTAAGTGTCTTTGAAGGCCAGTCTATTGTCCCATGTGGGGAAAATCAGGATCTCCAGCAGTTCTTGGCTGTTTTAAAAAAAATATAACTATCATAGTGCACCGTTTCAAACGCTTAACTCTGCGTTTACTTTAAAACACTGATGGGCAGGGAAGTTGAAAAGTGAAAGAACACGGGCCTCGGATTGTGAAGCTCAGATGTTCTGAATCAGTCGTCTGACTGACGGAGTCGTCTACGGCTTTACAGGATGACACAGCTTGGTGGCGTCTTTGGTGTTGCTCTGACTGTCGATCAGCACCAGAAGATTCCTCTGGTGGTTCTCTATGATGTGGGAGACACTGCTGAAGTACTGGAGGATAAAAAGAAAACATTTAAAGTGTTAAAGGTGGGTTTATTAAAGCCAGAATCCTGGAAAGTTCAATGAAAAACTCATATTTTCTATCTACCTGAAACAATCATTTATCAAAAATGAAAATCTTAGGGTTTTTACCGATGACACAAAAAAATGCATTTACTTAAATAAAGTAAGTAAGTAAAAGGAATAAATAGGTGGACAAATTAAATTCAATGTGGATTTCCTTTATGCCAAACTGGATTAGACGTATGAGCAGCGCTGTCCCAAACTAGGATGGGCTCTAAAGCAGAAGTTGATCAGGGGGGGGGGGTGGTTTTAAATTGGCTGAGCTTCAAGGATCTTTTGTCTCGGCCTCCATTAGACAGTTTAATGCCTCTTGAAAGACTGAGTTTTGTCGTTATTATTATTATTACTTTAACTAATATGGTGTTTTTTTTATCCTATTTTATATGTTTTTATCTTTGCTGTCAGGCAGGTGAATTTCCCCTATCAGGGATTAATTAAGTGACTATCTTAACATCATAACAATGATGGACAGCTGGTTCTAATCTGCTGCTTTGTCAACGAACTAAACTCCAAAAAACAAAGAAAAGATTACATTTAGGACTGTAGCTGTGTTAGCACAAGTGTAAAGAATACCAGGTATTTACTTTATTGTTGAACAATCTTCATTGATTGTTGAGAAGTGGAATAAATCAGCCACTTCCTGTAAATGCTAATTTTTAATTCTAAAAAAACAAAGAAATAATTTAATTTATCTGTGCTAGGACCATTGAATCAAACTGAATTATGTCTTTAACTTTAATAAAAAAAGCAACAAATTTAATCAGTGGTCTTTATTAATATGTAAGTATTTATGGGGATCCCTGATTGTTCAGCTCTCTATATGAGCCCAAGTATATAAACACCAAAACCTCTAACGCAATGATAAAGAAACTCCAGGTGATCTGCTATATTTCTTGCTCGATGCTCGACCGCCCACCAATATAAATTAATATTCACCATTGAAATCAACATGTTTCCTGGTGCTGGACAGGATTCTCCTTTTTTAAAACCCATATTTGTCAGAGCTTAAAAAATCTAGTTAAAGATTCTGGCCTTCAACTAAAAACAACAGCTGTTTTCATTCAGTTAAAGATTTAGGGTGAAGCTATAGAATTTTGAAGTGCTCAGTTTTTCTGCAATTTAATGAAGCAGGTAACTTAGCATGATGCCAACACCACCCTGCAGGATAGTAGGCTTAGTTTTGAAAAGCCTCACTTTAGTCCAAATATTTTTTGGCCAGTTAGCTTAATCTGTCCGTTTGACCATAAAGGTGTTTAGAGCAAAGGTTGGTTTCCCTTTTACGGATCCCCTCTGATGACATGGTCAAAAAATTTTTATAATTGTGGCCACGAAGTAGTATTTCGTGCGCATGAAATACTACCTCGTGGCCATGCAATAAGTATAACGTGTGCACAAAATACTACTTCAAGGCCACGCAATAAGTTTAACGTGCGCACGAAATACTTATTAATAATATTAATATCATTCCTGGAGAACTGGGTAAGCAAATCAAGCACGCCTTAGACCTTAGAGAAGGTGCGCTTGATTTGTATTTCGTGCGCACGTTAAACTTATTGCGTGGCCACGAAGTAGTATTTCGTGCGCACGTTAAACTTATTGCGTGGCCACGAAGTAGTATTTCGTGCGCACGAAATACTACTTCGTGGCCACAATTATAAATTTTTTTTGACCATGTCATCAGAGGGGATCCGTACCCTTTAGTCCATTTTGATGTAAATCTGTTTGGTTCCAGAACATCCTCACTACATTCCTTTCAACCCTGCAGTAAAGAAGGAAAAACAACTCACATCCCTGACATTTAGTATACATTTTCCCATTGTGGGACAATAAAGGGATTTTCTATTCTAAAAAAAAAAAAAAAAGCCACTATCTGATAGGAAAAGAAACAGGTATAATAAAAAAATTGTGTATTAATATTTGATAAAAAAAATATGGCATCTCTAAAAAAAAATGGAATATTCTGAGATCCTTCTTATATTAGCTGACCATCTTTTTGCCCGTTTCCACTGTTGGCGACCTTAAAGGTTTACTTTAAGCCCAAATCTGCCAGGGATATAAATAACTTTGTGCCTAAATGTTGGTGTGCCTTAAAGGTGGTTTTAAGTTAGTCATTAATTTAGTCTTTAGTTGACCCCAAAGAAAAAGTTTAGCTTTAGAAAATGATTAGAACTTCCCTGATCAGCCTCCTCTACGGCTGATCCCAACCCAATTAAAAACGTTTCCAGTACAAACCAAAGTCCAAAACAAAACCGACTAATTAAAAGGAACCCTGGATCTGTCAGGTAGAGGAATCAAGTGTCTAACCAGAATTATTTCAGGATGCAAGGTATAAAATTTATTGTTTTTAGGTTAAACTTAATATTTTCTCTGTAGTGTAGTGGGAGGAGACCCAGAGGGAGACGCAGTACACGCTGGAGGGACTATGATTCTCAGCTGGCCTGGGAACGCCTTGGGATTTTCCCAGAGGAGCTAACCCAAGTGGCTGTGGAGAGCGACGTCTGGGCCTCCCTGAAGCTGCTACCGTCGCAACCCAACCCTGGATAAGTGGAAGAGTATAGATGTATGGGTTGAACTTTAGGGACAATTATCTGAATATTAGCAGGAAGCATTTAAACATTTTTATATGTCATGTTTAACCTAAGAAACGCTGCAACAATCACTGCTTGCCAAAACAAATCTGTGCATTTTAGAGAAAAATTAGAGCAGATCATCAATCTCCTAAACCTGCTCTTATCAGTTTTCTCATGTACTGTATAATACATGAGGTGGGCTTTATTTTCTTTTATCAAAAAGTATGCAAACTTGTTTCCTAGAAGAAAAATACATTTTGTGAACCTAAAATATAATAGTATCTGCAAGTTATACACGTTATATTTGTGCAAATCAACTGAATTAATCATTTTAACTGGCTTTGACTTGATAGTGATGATAATCTATTTTTTGTTTTTTTGGTCCTTGCAGCTCGGGCTATGCTTAATGCATGTTTGTTCGAATAGTAGACCGAGACACATGGACACAGCTGCAGCTTTAAAAGTGCAGCTTTTCCCCTGCACCTAATATTGTGTCCAACTCCAGGAGGGCGTGTATGCCTTGCAACATTACACAACATGCATGAGTAAAACACACAGCTGTTTCCAGCATTTTCCAAGCCCCTTTATGTCATCCAATAGGGACAGTCTTTAAAAAAAGTTATTCACAATCTGTTGAGCGTAATGATATTTATCAGCTAAATACTTATGTTTATATTTTTATACCCTCACCAGTAGGAGCTGTTGCTCAACCCCCATGTGTTTCTGCAAGCAGCTGTCCACATAGTTATCATTTTTTCTAGATTGTGCAGACACGGCATAGAAATGCATGAAAGCTAAAATAACAATCTGACCACGACATTGTAGACTAAACGCAAAGAAATGCTGCTGAGGAGTGATTCTCAAAGTAGTACTTACAGGAAATCCCACTGACTCACCCTCTGTGGTACTGTTTGAAACAGCGCTGAGTCATTCTGAGCAGCGATAACCCGCTACAAATCACCTTTTCAAGGTTGAAAGATTAGTCTTATATCTATTACCTGTTTTACCTTTTAGGGGACTTTTAAGCCGCTAGAGCTGGTGCACCAAGGGGCCCTCTGCATCTCCTTAAAACAGTCAACTAATTTTATTTTATGCTGCTGCTCTTATTTTTGTTAACACTTATAAAGCATTTCGTCGTATCAATAATTTAGAACATGTAGGCATTTATTTGGATTTCAAAATGACAATGTCTAAAAGCAAATGAGAAATGAAAAGAAATTATCGAAATGTGTTTATTAGCTATGAAATTTAGGTGAATACTGACTCCTCCAGTTCATAGGTCAGTACTGGTAGCCCTTCCTATGACTCAGTACCAATGAAGTCACCCTCGGTCTTAAAAAGGTTGGTGACCCCTGCACTAGAGTTATGCTTAAATTCAGAGATGGCAAAAGTACTCACTTTCCGTACTTGAGTAAAAGTACAGATACTTGTGTTA